AATATTAAGGTGAGCTTTGTTAAATCAAAACACAAGGCTACAATAGCAAACCCGTGAGACTGACACCGCCAAAAAGAAGGTCTATGGTTTATTTTACAAGTGTCCATCTTAGACAGGGATATATATGATGTTAGCACTGATGTCATTGAGCATAGGAAGCAAACAAACATGATGCTAAATGACTTTCTATTTGGAGGGGAAGCATAATTTGGTAGCCTGCATTTCCTCATAGTCTAAATATACAACCCTACCTGCAAATTAGGCTAAAAATGTGGTATCTTTGAGGGACACACGGTCTCTGTCGGGGATTTAAACCCCTGACAGGACAACTGGCGAGGTGTAAACAAGTTGTCAGTTAACGTGAGCCTGTTAGCTAACTACATCGTCGCTATCTATCAAGCCGGCAAACTTGAAGCCAGCGAGAAATACAAACTATCCCACTGTTTACACAGGCAGATTTGGGCAACCGCTATCTAGTTAGCGAGCCTACAGCTATTAATTACCTTCATAATTAGTTAGCAAGCTGTCAGTTTGTTAGCTAGGTGAGCTAACCACAGTGAGCAAAGCTCTGCTCGGGTCTGCTGTTTACGACGCCAGTCAGGTCGTGTGTACGGTTGTTGACACCAGCCCGAGACAATACAACAACGGCAAAACAGATTACTAGCTACTGGATATAATATTAGGGACATACAAAAGAGACACACCTGAAAGTCGGCCAGAATCATTTCTCTATCCATGTTGCTCTCGCCGCTTTCGGAGGCCATGGCAATGACTGGCTAAAAGCAATTCTTCCACTGGCTCTCGTCGCTTTCTCGCCTCACAGAGCGACACTGAGTTTTAATAAAATACTTTGCTCAGACGTGGCGACGAGTGAGAGGTTGGCAAATTGGAAATATTCAACTTTATTGGGTTTAAACCGCCTCAGATGCTGAAAATCCTTTAAAGTAACGTTACAGTGTTCAGTTATCTCCTATCATTATTGTCATCTAGCTAGTGCTTTACGGCTGACGTAAAGTAGCGGCAGATGTCGTAAAATCTGGAGTCGAGGACGTGAAGCTGATACTAAGAGTTGAGTTTGCAGCGATACAAACATAAAAGTGTCTTTACCAGGGGTAATAGGCCATATGGACCAATAAAACATTACACAATAACTTATGACTACTATCAGCTCCAATATTTTCCCTTTGTGTGTGTGTGTGTAAAGAATTACAATTACATGCTGTTGACATTCATTCTTGTACAAAACAGACAAACAGCCTGATATCAACAGTAGGCTATGTCTAAGCTTTTACACATTCAGTCAGTCTACTTGTCACTGTCATGGCATCTGCATTTATTCACATATTTCCTGACACAGATTCTTTTGAACTGAAGCTGCCAATTGACAATATTTTGCACAATGTTTAATATCTTTAAACATGGTCACAGTAAGTATTCATTGTTATATCCAAGAGCTGTACTCTGGTCATGGTGGGAAAGCCTCTGAAGCAGAATTTTACATGAAGTATGCATTGTTTAACTTCATCTAGTGGGCCAGATTGGACCCCTTGGCGAGCCCATTCTGGCCCATGGGCCATATGTTTGACACCCCTGTGTTAGATCATATGTCCTTTTCTTATATTAATATGTTTAAAACCGTTAATTCGCTCTGTACTAGAATATCTAAATGGGAGCACCACCTCAATTAAGAATCCCAGTATGTGATTTTTATGGCCCAGGAAAGTTCATTCAATATTTGTGTACATGAGCGACTCTCTCAAAGCCAGAAACCAGGGAAGTAAGTATCATACTTATGATGTCACAGGGTATGAGTCTGGTGTTGCTCCATGGACAATGACTGGGAGCCTGATTTTGTGGAGCCACAGGGTGTTTATTTTTTATCTTTATACCCAAATGAGCTTTATTCTATTGTAGTGTTCTCAGGTCTGAAACAAAAAATGTACCCATGTACTCAGAACATTCCCCGGGGTGCTCGCAGTGTCATGTATAACGTCCTTCCCTATTCATTGTCTATGGAGCCGCTCCAGACTTTATACTCTGTGACATCACAAATTTCAGTTTTAGCACTCTAGTTTTTGGATTTGTAGAAGGTTTTGAAAATTCAATTGAATTTGAATTTTAAAAAATGGCCATAGTTGCCCTTTAATGTGCCTGCCCAGTTTCTAGATGCAACTTAACTCGTTTTGGACGGTGCCTTCAAAGTAGCTTAAAATGTAGACTGTACACTACAATAATATTCAATACATCAGGGTTTTTTACACATTTGTATGGAAGTCAGAGTATTTGCCTGTTCTTCTCATCCTCTTTAAAGAGCCACTGACCCAATGCTACAGCAGGCCAGAAGAGAAGACAGAGCACAGTGTGAATAACGTGACAGAAAAAAAAACCAAGAAAGTGCATAAAAGCAGACATATGCTGTCACCTTGACTCTGGACTTATGTGCGCCTCGGCTACAGTAATGGTTTATCTTTCAGGGTCAAAGAGGCAAAAAAGAACAATCTTACCAGTTAATGAAGGGAAGGTCATGCTTATTATGATGGGCATGGCAGTGGAGGGACAGAAGAAACATGGTAAGATGTAAGCCTGTCCAGAGACTGTTCCTCGATCAGATGCACCTCCATGATTTGTGTGTTTACACCAAAATCTGTAACCATCATGTTCTAAAATAGGAATTTCAGTTGTATTGCCACCTGCTAAACTGTGACCCTAAAATATTCAGATATTACATACAAATCATGACACCTCATTTGATAAATATTTGGCAGGGCCGATTATGAGACAGTGGGCCCCTGGGTATAGATATTCAAAAGGCCCCACCACCTCTCCTACAAAATAACAAGGCACACAGACTGAATAGTGGTTTTGCATCTCTTTGAGGTCATTTTGAGCATTTTTTGCGGTCGTTTTTCTGTCTCTTTGTGGTTATTTGCCTGTTTTTGTTGTTATTTTGTGTCTCTTCGCAGGTCCTTTGCATTCTTAGTGGTCTTTTTGTGTCCTTTTGTGGTCACTTTGAGTTTCCTCCTGGTCAGTACATGTTACTTTAAGTGACATTTTGCAGGTGAAGGCTAGGGAGTCCCCTGAACCTTTGGGCCCCTGAACTCGTGCTGAGTAGGCCTGTTTAGTAATCTGTGGTCTACTTTCTTTTTTTTTTTTTTTTTCTTTTTTTTTTTTACATAATTTAGCTTTTAGTGTCACGGAATCTGACAAATTCCACAAAACACAACTACAAAAATGAGTGACCCTATCTTCATGCAACATTAACACCATATTTGGTTACAGCCATCAAAATTAATCTTATTCTGAGGTCATAGAATCTGACAGGTCACAGAAAATGGTGAACCATCAGATTGTGTGACCAGTTATAATAGGGTATGTGACAAAGCATAATAAAATATCTGTGTAATGGCAATACAAATTAAAGTCCTATTTGTGTTCCAGTAACATGAGCAGAACAAAAGCTTAATCTATAGAGTTGCCACGAACCGGGGTAAATCTCATTAGACCTGTTGTTTGTGGGTGGATTTATTGGTGGAGTGGGCGGATGGAGGTCTGGACCCAGGCAAGCATTGTGTCACGTCAGACAGATAACAATGGGGTGTTCTGAGAACTGAAATATTTCATTGACAACAAATGGGCAGGTGCCTTAGCTCTGGCTTCCACCTGCCAACATGCATGCCAGCAACTGCACAAAAGGAAATACCATATCCCGCAATTATGAGTACGTAGGCGACACATTATTGTTTGTCCTTGACTGGACCTTGTGTCTTTAACCACGGCCACTATATGACTCATACTGTGTACCCTGACAGCATGGATGGATTTACATATCAGGCCTACTGGGCACAGGCACAGGAGCCCAAAATGTAAAGCCCCCCTTTGACTATCCATCCATCATTTGCATCCACCTATCTGGGGCAAAGCACCCCAGATGTCCCTCTCTCCAGCAACACTTTCCAGCTCCTCCTGGGGTACCCTGATGTGTTCCCAGGCCAGATAAGATATGTAGCCCCTCCAGCGTGTTCTGGGTTTGCCCCAGGGCCTCCTACCAGTGGGACATGCCTGGAACACCTCTAATGGGAGGCGCCTGGAGGCATCCTGATCAGATGCCCTAGCCACCTCCTCCCCTCGAACCTTCACCTGCAAAATGTCACCCAAATTAATGTACCTCCCAGGAAGAGATTCAAAATGACTACAAAGAAACACACACTCCCACACAAAGCACAAAGAGATGCCAAGGAACTGCAAAGAGACACAAAAAGATGCATAACAACTACAAAAAGATTCAAAACAATAAAATAAAAGAGGGAAAACTATCACAAAATCTGAGTGTCTTGCACCTGTGTAAGAGGGATGGTGCGGCCTTTTGCATCTCTGTGCCCATGGGCCCAGTGTTTCATAATACACCCTCGTTTGAAAGGTTGTGGATGGCCCTCGCCTGCAAGCACCAGTCATGTGACCCCATTTGACCTTATCCTTTTCTTTCCTCCTTAGTGCTACACAGTATCTGTATCACACCATGTAGTCAATAGAAGTCTGTGTATGTTTGACGCACGTGTCAAAGTGCTTGTGACCTCATGTGCACTCAACCAGTTGAAAAGTAGCACACTAATCTACTCTCTAATTTTAAGGTAAGATTTTAATTTAAATTAATACTCAAAAATCTTTATTTTTAATCAAAATTGAATTAACTTTTTTCTTATTTTTTAATTTATTATTTTTTTCCTATTTTTGTTATTTATTTTTTATATGTCTTCATGGTCAGATGGTTTTTGACTTTATTAACACATGTCCATGTTGCTTTTATAAACCAATAAAAAGAGAATTTCAAATAAAAAAGAAAAGAAAGAAAAGGTAAAACATTACATTTCTCCACACGCGCTCTGAGTGCTGGAAATAGCTTGCAGGCGATATGAAGTCCCAACACTAGAGGGCAGCATAAAAGTGAAAGATGACAGAGGATGACACCATAAAAATGCCTCCCTGGCTTTTTCACTGCGAACTATATCTACAGATGAATCATGACGCAGTGATTATATCCATTATGCTGCGTCTGACTGTGTCCCCTGTGATCTCTGTGGTCATCGGTGTATCACAGTGATGAATGGAGGCACCTTTATCACACGTCGTTACGGCATCATTAGGCTCCGTTACTGTCCCGCCTATCATTTGATCCTATCCAATCACACCAGCATCAGTTTTGGCGAGTCGTTCAAATTCAGTTTCGAGCTGTAACTGCGCTGCTGCGGCCCGAGTCTACCCTGCAGATGAGCCATATTCTGTGATGACAGAGACGATATTCCAGGAGCTTTACGATGCTCGGACATTTGGCTCGCAGCATATTTTGAGAAGAGTTGAATCGGACATCGCTGCGACACTGCTTCATGGAGGATCATCGTATGCGGTAGGTTTTTGGAAATGAGTGGTAGTCCCGTCATGACTGCGGTGTTTGGGGTAGATCGCCTCTCAGCTCCTGCACGCTGACAGCAGGACATGATGGCAGCCATACACTCACACGCACTGAACACATACATTTGGGCAAAATCATCAGAAAATGAGCGGGAAGCGACTTTCAGTTGCATCACATGTTTTGAAGCATATGCGTAGGTGTAACCTTTGTGTGTCCATTTATTTATTTTGTTGTTGTTGTTATTTTGCTTTTTCAGCGGTCGGCTCGGTAGGATGGCACACAGTGCGCAGTTACACGGAGGAAGGATTGCGTTATGGTTTTAAAATAAAATAAGGTGGGTTTTGTCCAATAGATGTGCTGCAGTGTTTATTTTGGATTACTACCGTTATTATAGCTGCACGTGCATGTACAATAGGCTAATATTTGCTTTCTTTTGCGGGGTCCAAAAAGAAATGAAACACATAAAGCTGTTAGTGTAATCGATTAGATTCAGTATTCATTCTCATCAGATCACAGGACTGTCAGTGCTCTCACAGCACGTGGGAAAACAGCTGTTGTTTTTACGTTGTTTACATATAATTATCACCCACAATGCATCAAAATAGATCAAAATAAGGTATGCAGTCACCCAGAGGTGGCAACATGTCCTTTGCAGTAACTAACATAACTGTTTATCTTAAAAGTATTTGCATACTAGTCAGTTTGAATTTGGAGCCAAACATAAATCGCACAGTTAGGTGGATTTATTGCTCATCTGGATGCCGATCGAGCTCTATAATAATGAGTAATAATATAAGTGGTATCCTCTTGTATCCTCGTGTACAATTCTTGGAGGGAGCAGGGTAAATAAAAGTAGCTAAAGTAAAAGTAATCTATAATCATTATATATTATGATCATGATCAGTCTGATGTAGCTATATGTATATATGATTTTTATTCTTATCTATTAATTCAACTTTTATTTAACCAGGAAGTCCCACTGGGATTGAAAATGTCTTTTACTATGGAGACCTGGCCAAGGTAGCAGCCAATCAAAACACATTAACATGCAACAAATAATAATATAATATAATATATACAACATAACCACTAGTGTCCTTACATTAGGTGCACTACAGCTTAATATGATGCACATTACTACTTTTCAATATCTTGTGCCAAATTTTTCACAACATCATATGCAGTATTATTCATCTACACCATGTCCACTAGTCAGTGCAGTGCAAATATCATTTTCTCAGTCATGTGCAATACTACTTCTCATTGTCATATCATGTTCAATATAACATTGATTATCAGGAGCACCATTTTGGTTCATTTTTAGTAAATACTTCTATATAAATACTATGAAAATACATCTACTATGGATATTTGTATATTTATAGGCCTATATATTTGTATATACGTATATATTTGTATATACGTATATATATTATATATATTATAGATAGATAGATAGATAGATAGGTAGAAAATACTGATACTATAGATTTTTGTGTATTTATATATTTATATAACCAGGAAGTTTTGAAGAGAGAGAAGTTAGCAGCCAACTCAAAACACATTAACATGCTACAAATACAATACAACATATAATATAATATATATACAACATAACATATAACAATAGTGCAATAGGATGCACATTGCTACTTTTCAAAATTTCCATTTTAGTTTTTTCCACCATTTCAGTTCATTTTTAGTAACTCTTATACTCATCGTACTCCTATTGTTACTTTATTAGGCACTGTGTTTTACTTTTGCTCCTTGAAAATACTTCGATTATAGATATTTGATACTCTGTTGTTCTAAAACTGGGCCCAGTGAGTGAGCCTGACCCAGGGAACACACTGGTTGTCTGGTTGTGAATCGTTAATATTGTGCTTGCTGTACTTAGTGTTACTGTAATTTGAAGCCTTCTCTGGCACAAGAATTTCCTGCAGGATAAATAAATCAGAATCGGAATCAGCTTTATTCGCCAAGTACGTGTGCACATACAAGGAATGTGACTCCGGTAGAGTTGCTCTCAATGTACCAGAATTGACATAAGTGCTCAAATTTAGGCAAGAAGTGGAATAAATGAAGTTCTATAATTTTTTTTTTACCTTTATTTAACCAGGAAGAAGTTAGCAGCCACTCAAAACACATTAACATGCTACAAATACAACATATAATATAATTTATATATAATATATAAATATCTTCACATAATGTGCAGTATTATTCATCAATTCCATGTCCACTAGTCAGTGCAGTGCAAATATCATTTTCTCAGTCATGTGCAATACTACTTCTCATTGTCATATTATATTCAATATGACATTGATTATCAGGAGCACCATTTTGGTTCATTTTTAGTAAATACTTCTATATAAATACTATGAAAATACATCTACTATGGATATTTGTATATTTATAGGCCTATATATTTGTATATACGTATATATTTGTATATTATATATATTATACATAGATAGATAGATAGATAGATAGATAGATAGGTAGAAAATACTGATACTATAGATTTTTGTGTATTTATATATTTATATAACCAGGAAGTTTTGAAGAGAGAGAAGTTAGCAGCCAACTCAAAACACATTAACATGCTACAAATACAATACAACATATAATATAATATATATACAACATAACATATAACAATAGTGCAATAGGATGCACATTGCTACTTTTCAAAATTTCCATTTTAGTTTTTTCCACCATTTCAGTTCATTTTTAGTAACTCTTATACTCATCGTACTCCTATTGTTACTTTATTAGGCACTGTGTTTTACTTTTGCTCCTTGAAAATACTTCGATTATAGATATTTGATACTCTGTTGTTCTAAAACTGGGCCCAGTGAGTGAGCCTGACCCAGGGAACACACTGGTTGTCTGGTTGTGAATCGTTAATATTGTGCTTGCTGTACTTAGTGTTACTGTAATTTGAAGCCTTCTCTGGCACAAGAATTTCCTGCAGGATAAATAAATCAGAATCGGAATCAGCTTTATTCGCCAAGTACGTGTGCACATACAAGGAATGTGACTCCGGTAGAGTTGCTCTCAATGTACCAGAATTGACATAAGTGCTCAAATTTAGGCAAGAAGTGGAATAAATGAAGTTCTATAATTTTTTTTTTACCTTTATTTAACCAGGAAGAAGTTAGCAGCCACTCAAAACACATTAACATGCTACAAATACAACATATAATATAATTTATATATAATATATAAATATCTTCACATAATGTGCAGTATTATTCATCAATTCCATGTCCACTAGTCAGTGCAGTGCAAATATCATTTTCTCAGTCATGTGCAATACTACTTCTCATTGTCATATTATATTCAATATGACATTGATTATCAGGAGCACCATTTTGGTTCATTTTTAGTAAATACTTCTATATAAATACTATGAAAATACATCTACTATGGATATTTGTATATTTATAGGCCTATATATTTGTATATACGTATATATTTGTATATACGTATATATATTATATATATTATACATAGATAGATAGATAGATAGATAGGTAGAAAATACTGATACTATAGATTTTTGTGTATTTATATATTTATATAACCAGGAAGTTTTGAAGAGAGAGAAGTTAGCAGCCAACTCAAAACACATTAACATGCTACAAATACAATACAACATATAATATAATATATATACAACATAACATATAACAATAGTGCAATAGGATGCACATTGCTACTTTTCAAAATTTCCATTTTAGTTTTTTCCACCATTTCAGTTCATTTTTAGTAACTCTTATACTCATCGTACTCCTATTGTTACTTTATTAGGCACTGTGTTTTACTTTTGCTCCTTGAAAATACTTCGATTATAGATATTTGATACTCTGTTGTTCTAAAACTGGGCCCAGTGAGTGAGCCTGACCCAGGGAACACACTGGTTGTCTGGTTGTGAATCGTTAATATTGTGCTTGCTGTACTTAGTGTTACTGTAATTTGAAGCCTTCTCTGGCACAAGAATTTCCTGCAGGATAAATAAATCAGAATCGGAATCAGCTTTATTCGCCAAGTACGTGTGCACATACAAGGAATGTGACTCCGGTAGAGTTGCTCTCAATGTACCAGAATTGACATAAGTGCTCAAATTTAGGCAAGAAGTGGAATAAATGAAGTTCTATAATTTTTTTTTTACCTTTATTTAACCAGGAAGAAGTTAGCAGCCACTCAAAACACATTAACATGCTACAAATACAACATATAATATAATTTATATATAATATATAAATATCTTCACATAATGTGCAGTATTATTCATCAATTCCATGTCCACTAGTCAGTGCAGTGCAAATATCATTTTCTCAGTCATGTGCAATACTACTTCTCATTGTCATATTATATTCAATATGACATTGATTATCAGGAGCACCATTTTGGTTCATTTTTAGTAAATACTTCTATATAAATACTATGAAAATACATCTACTATGGATATTTGTATATTTATAGGCCTATATATTTGTATATACGTATATATTTGTATATACGTATATATATTATATATATTATACATAGATAGATAGATAGATAGATAGGTAGAAAATACTGATACTATAGATTTTTGTGTATTTATATATTTATATAACCAGGAAGTTTTGAAGAGAGAGAAGTTAGCAGCCAACTCAAAACACATTAACATGCTACAAATACAATACAACATATAATATAATATATATACAACATAACATATAACAATAGTGCAATAGGATGCACATTGCTACTTTTCAAAATTTCCATTTTAGTTTTTTCCACCATTTCAGTTCATTTTTAGTAACTCTTATACTCATCGTACTCCTATTGTTACTTTATTAGGCACTGTGTTTTACTTTTGCTCCTTGAAAATACTTCGATTATAGATATTTGATACTCTGTTGTTCTAAAACTGGGCCCAGTGAGTGAGCCTGACCCAGGGAACACACTGGTTGTCTGGTTGTGAATCGTTAATATTGTGCTTACTGTACTTAGTGTTACTGTAATTTGAAGCCCTCTCTGGCACAAGAATTTCCTGCAGGATAAATAAATCAGAATCGGAATCAGCTTTATTCGCCAAGTACGTGTGCACATACAAGGAATGTGACTCCGGTAGAGTTGCTCTCAATGTACCAGAATTGACATAAGTGCTCAAATTTAGGCAAGAAGTGGAATAAATGAAGTTCTATACATTTTTTTTACCTTTATTTAACCAGGAAGAAGTTAGCAGCCACTCAAAACACATTAACATGCTACAAATACAACATATAATACAACATATAATATAATTTATATATAATATATAAATATCTTCACATAATGTGCAGTATTATTCATCAATTCCATGTTCACTTGTCAGTGTAGTGCAAATATCATTTTCTCAGTCATGTGCAATACTACTTCTCATTGTCATATTATATTCAATATGACATTGATTATCAGGAGCAGTCTGTTTTTTCCACCATTTTAGTTTTTTGCACTTAGTGTTACTGTCATTTTTAATTTTATCCTTTGGGATAAAAAGTAAAGTTCTACTGAATTGAATACACACACACACACGCGCACACACACACACACACACACACACACACGCATTTATTGGAAATTAAACATTTTGTTTACGATGTTTTTATTATTATTATCATCACCATAATCTATATTTTCACAATGCTAGTCTACTTTTTTTTTTTTCCCAAAAAAGTGATATTTTTTACAGTGCCAGAGTAAGACCTGCGCTGTTCCAGTCCATGTATGGTGTGAGTGGATTACAGTTTTTCTCCACACATGAAATGGATCAAATTTAAGTATGCCAGTCACCCAGAGGTAGCAGACTGTCTTTTGCAGCTGGACTGTGTAACTAACAGAACTAACAGATTAACTTTATTGTCCATGTGGATGCTAACTGAGCACTAAAGTCATTATAGCTAAAATATAACCTGAGAAAATGAAAGCTTAGCTTGTGTAAAATGCAAGGATGCAAATTCATGGACTGAGCTGGATAAAAGTAAAAGAGAGCCAAATCTTCCCATACTTTTTACAGTGCTAGAGAGAGAGAAAACAGTGTGGGGTCAAGCCAATGTCTGATGGTGGGAGGGAGGTGGGAGGGAGGTGCTTATGAGATGAACTTGATAAGACCTGAAATCTGGATGCAGTTATTTTCCACACTTCTTGTTTGAGACATTTTGCCTTCGTTTATTTTCTCTACTACCAGAATGGCTGACTCACTGTGCAAGGCCTCTGCCAGGGGAAACCTCAGTGAAGTGTCGCTTTTGCTGCAAGATGGAGCAAACGTTAATGGCTTTAATATGTACAACAGGACTGCACTGCAGGTCAGTATAAACCACTTAGTTTGTGTGAAAGTGAATTTGGAAGAATAGTTTTGTTCATGCTCTTTTGGTAGACTGTAGTGTTACAAGCTGCCTCTTTGACTTCCTTATCTTACAGTGCTGTTGTACAGGATATACGACCTGATCATAGTTTACCTTCAAATGTTTAGTAGACTTTGTTCAGCTTTATATGCAATATAATACTTTAAATCGATATAAAAAGTTTTAAATTAAGAAATCTGTGGATGGATGGCAGAGAGGAGTTTGGTCTTTGTAGCATATCTGATCTGAATAAACCACACTAAGTCAAAACAGCTAAGTAGTTCACTTAAAAATCGTTTTAAAACTCATAGTCTTGTTGCAATTAATTATTTAATGCTATATAATCAGGAATGTAAGGATTAAAACGAATTATTCCGTTTTTTTCCATGGCACATTGAGTTGTCCTTTTGTCACTCTTAGTTTCACAGTGAAGTTTGTGTTTCCAGCACAGATTTTGCTCTTGATCCTAAGAAATAAGTTACTCAGATAGAATAAAGAATAAGCCAATTTCGGTTATTATTAACAGGTTGAAAGAGATGTGCTAAATTCGATGGTCACTGGTGGAGTGTTGAGAGGTGTGAAAAAGTATGAGAAGTGAGGAAGTGGCCTACTTACACAGTGTGCCTGCCCCTGCTTGAATTTTTTACATGCCTAGATTTTCTTAGAACAGTTGTACAGAGGTCATATACATGCAAGTCAATGAAATAATACTTAAATCACTATTGGCACTACTTGTAATCATTTTAGTAATAATAATGGCATTTTAAGATTATCAAGCAGTTGTGTAATTTTCGTGTCCTCATCTAAATCACAAATCTGGAATATTTTTATCTATTTATTTTTTGTTTTTTTATTTCATTTTTTAATTGTATTTATTTATTTATTGTTTGTTTAAGTTCGATGTATTATTATTATTATTATTATTATTATTATTATTATTATTATTATTTTTTTTTTTTTTTTTTTTTTATTTATTTATTTTTATTTTTCCTCCTTTCTTTGTGCAGGTGGTGATGTTGGGGAACGACGCTGTGGTCAGGGCTCTTCTCGAGGCAGGGGCGGACCCCAACATACGCGACCCGGTCCTCAGACTCACCGTGACGCACGACGCCGCGCGCGAAGGATTTATAAACTCTGTGCGCGAGCTGGTAGACCACGGGGCAGATATTAATCTCGTGGACGACCATGGTAACCTGCCGCTGCACCTGGCAGCCCGAGAGGGCCACCTTGAAGTGGTCCAGCTGCTGATCGAACGCACCGTGAACCCCCGAACCCCAAACGGTCAGGGATACACCGCCGCGCAGCTGGCGCACCTCCACAGGAGGGAGGACACTGCCAGATACATTGACGAGTATCTGAGCTCAAGTGAGTGCTCTTCTATGTTTTTTTAATGTCTTGCAATAAAATAGCTTCCTACCAAGAAAAATTATTTTTAAGGATAGCCTATAATCACTCTTCAAACTTAATGGTACAAAAAATCCGTGGCATCTTTACGCTTTACCGACCTATTCAGTGCAAAGTTGGGCTTGTTTCTAAGGATCCGCGCTTTTTCGATAAGAAAATATTTCAATCAGGAACAAAGATGAAGTTTAATGCGGAATATAAGTGCAGATTAACAGATGATTTGTGCTGATAAGGATAAACAAAAGTTTTGGCGCTTAGACTCAACAGAGTCTGGACACTGGTGGCGGTTGGAAACTTGTTGTGGACTGATGAGGCGAAAGGAAGCTGCATCCGAGAGGAGTAGGCCGTGATTGGGAGGTGAATTACGCACAGTGAGAACACTGTAGCGAAATAAGAGAGGAGCAGTGAGGCGATAGGCTGGTGGAGAAGGTGTGCTCTTGTGCTATTGGTTGATTGTGGGTCAGCTGTTGTACAGCTGTTTGACTGTGCAAACACGGCCAAGCCATAGATGGAGAATGAGCAGGGTTGGAATCGCAGGGTGAGGACGAAAGTTACAGCCTAAGCATGAAAAAGTATTGTCTTCGTGACTGAACTTTTGCTACAGCTTCATTTCTGTTTCTAGAACCAACAAAATGATGTTAGAGAAAACTGAAAATCACTGATGCGCAGACTATAACAATTTAATGGCGAGGGTGGTAATGGTTAAATGCGTTATAGAGCCCAAAGATCCGCCGGTATTATCCTCTGTTGATGTTGCACATTGGCTCTCACAAGAGCCGTGATAAAAACTAAACGAACAGGCTATAGGCCGAGTTTCATTTAGATTTCTGTTGCTCCAAATTAATGGCCACCATCAACTGTCGGTCATAAAATGCTCCATCTCTATGACCGACAATTACAGGCCGATAAAATTATAATAGTTGTAGGGTATTAGTGGTGAGGATAACATGTGAGTTCAATTGAGATAATAGGTCAACTTCAACAGAGAACATGGGCTTATGAATTTAAAGCAATAATAAATATATTAGGCCTATATGGACTCCACTCCAATTTAATTTTATTTTGTTTTATTTTATTCCTATTTTTATTTATTTTATTTTTTAACTTAATTTTATTTTATTTTATTTTATGTCTATTTTAGTACTACAGTGTTGTTGATGAGGGGGAGTGTGGTTGTTGATTTTTGTCTTTTATGAGCTGCTGGGCAGCTGAATTTCCCATTTTGGGGGGGGGGGGGGGGGGAAAAAAAGTTCTTTTTATTCTGTTCTGATGCTTTTTAGTCTGAAGCGGATGCAGATGCAATATCTGAGCACATTTGCAATGAAACGGATTGTCACAATTTCTATACGACACGCTGCTGACACCTTTACATGGTTCAGTTATTTGTCAGGGTTGCACAATAAAATGTAAGTTGCAGCCTCTTCACGCCGCACACACAGTGTATACAAATATTTAAGTCAGAATAGATTCAATAAAATTAAATACCATATACTTAGGAATCCTTATATGAGACTTTGGTTTTTGGCGGCAACGAGGTTTATGCAAAAGTGTATGTAAAACCTTAAATATGTGTTATTAACAGTCATGCATCTCCAGCAAAATTACTCTATAGCCTATCATAAATAAAGCTGGTTCTGTTTCGTTTTTAACTACGTTTAATAACGCGGCTTTTAACGAATTGTTGTTGAGTATAGGCTGATGTTACCCTGACTTAGATATCACGCACCCCACTCCGATTTTTGTTTCTCATCTGGTAACACAGGGTGAATGGAATTAATCGTTTAGCTACCACCCTTTTCAAAGTGTAGGCGTGGACATGCTTTCATGTTGAGATGCATGTTTAATAAAGGTTTTCGATGTGATTAGACTAGTGATTAGACTAGTTCCACTACAAGACAAATAGCAGTTACAAAATGGCTTCAGCCTCGAGCAGCAGTGCAGGCCGCAGATACAACTGAGGGTTTTGTCTCAACTCATCCCCCCGGAATCGAAAGTGAAAGATGCAGCTTCTCACTCTGTCCCTCTGCACTCTGTATTTGTCTCTGTGCTGTGAGATAGTCTTTGGGACTTACCGAACACGGGTGTATGTGCCAGGCATATGGTTATAATTGGGGAAAGGAAATGCCTTTGTGTGTATGTGTATGTGTGTGTGTGTGTGTGTGTGTGTGTGTGTGTGTGTGTGTGGGTGTGTGTGTGTGTGTGTTGGCACAGATACCCACTGAACCTGTTATTGGCCTGGATGGAAACGTGGTGACTTTTGTCTCCTCAGACTCCTTCAGTCACAGGCCCTGCTAGTGAGCGCTTTACACTGTTAAAACAAACCTATAGAATCTACTCAGTAAATTTGCACTCAGTTTGAGTAGATTTGATCTCATGTCTTGAGTAAAGAGTTCCTAAATTCAACAGCTATGGCACAATAGGTTAGGTAACAACACGTTTTAGTGTGTATGCTAAATACACAACTGATTACGCATAAAAAGTAAGTATAGTAACACAGTAACACTTAGCTCCAGCTTGCTGGTGGATTCAAACCTAGAACCTTCCAGGCGAGAGGCAAAAGTGTTAACCACTGTGCCACCATAGAAACTATATTTACTATGTCACTTTTTTAATTGTAATGAACAAACAGTGCTCACAATTCCAAAAAATCTTGAACAACATATAAAGGTGTGCAGCTGCACATGGCAAGCATCCAAAAACCAACTGAACACCGGCACTGATTGACTTAATGAATGTAAGTTAATTTATCTGAGAGGGTTATGTTCGGTTGTTTAATCGACTAAAACAGCGATCCAAGAGAAATACGCACTGTTCGAACGCATTATCACATGCGCACACTGCAGTGCAGGGATTACACATTAACTTGGAGTGCAATTTATGGTATTTTTGTATGTTGCAGTTGTTGCTGTTAACACAAAGGTAGAGTATATATTTTATCCATTATTATTTCACTAGATGACTAATATACTTATTAAAATTTAAATGCTACATGGGTTTTATTTACCATTCTCCAAAATACTTTTACATAGTTACATGTACTTGGACATTTATTAAACTGCATGCACAGTTGTGTTAAATCGACAGATGTTAACAAAAGTTATGACCACACAGACTGTTTATTGTTTATTTCTGGCGATGCGCAGTGAAAACACAACGAACACACAATCACTTAGCTCAAACCGGATTATTCACAATTAATCTTGTAATTCTGCTTTGTCTGAAAATACTTAACTAAAGATCAAATAATATTTTGAATGGTCTGTTTAAATCTAATAGTATTTGATAAAGTCTGATAAATTATGCTCTGATTAACGAAACCCATTTCATTACTGTAGGCTTAACATGTGTTATTTTGCAGCCGTAGCCTATTAGCCAGCTCCGTCAGGCCTTTTACGCACAGCTGTATTGTGCCAAATAGGCTACACCAAGAAGCGTAATGAACCTTGTTTTAGATGTGAGGTGTCCACACAGAATATTTCTACCGTGCAAACAAACAAGGGGGAGGAAATCAAAGAGTAATAAACGCTGATCTTTATGTGGACAAATTCATATACAGCCAGCAGCCTTGCACACACGTATGCGGAGACAGACTGAGCTAGATGCTCCAGTGTGTCGGGGCTTACGGCAATACAGATCACCACAGAGGAATGGCTTCTCTTTAAACTGCAACCAAACACTGCACTTAAAAATCAATAGCATTAGCAATAAATTGCACCAGACATACACAAAACATGCAGCTGCGGTGAGGCCTCTCCACAGCCGGCAGGAGAGCCTCGTCACCGGCTGCAGAGCGAACAAACGCTCCTCGCAAACTCACCCCTCGCCCTACATCACACCCTGACCCCGCTAACTATCTTCACCGCCGGCAGCCTCATGCGGTTTGCGAACGGCGCCCCCGGTTACGAGCGCACAGTACAGCCGGCTCGGCTGTTCTTCTGCCCCGCAACGTTCACCGAGCACCCCGCTCTCCAGAGACCAGTGCGCCCGCGCGCTGTCCTACTTTCATTACCTCTTCGTCTCAGATGCTCCCTCCCATAGGTGCTCTCCTCATCTCACGTGCATTCACCCTGCTCTCTTCCGCCTCCCCCGCTGACACACAGCATCACTCACTGCATTATTTTGCAGCCAAGGCCTTCTACACGCAGCCAATCAATAAACAGAGTCCTGTGACCCCCCTCATCACGTAAAGTCTGTGAAGCCACAGTTCGCAAGCGGTTGATAGACAGCCCATCGAGACCGTTTTATGCGTTGCAGTGGAAACGTTCACCCAAACGAGATGATAATAAAGTCCCAATGTCCTCAGACAAGATGACAATGAAGTCCCAATGTCCTCAAAGGACATGATAAAATAAGTTCAAATGTCCTCAAAGGGGATGATAAAAAAAAAAGCCCACATGCCCTCAAATGAGACAATAAAATAAGTTGCGATGAAAAAAGTCCCAATGTCTTTAAATGAGACAGTTAAATAAGTCCCAATGTCCTCAAACAAGACGACAATGAAGTCCCAATGTCCTCAAAGGGGACAATAAAAAAGCCCAAATGTCCTCAAACAAGAGACAATGAAGTCTCAGTGTCGTCAAACGGGACAATAAAAAAAAGCCCAAATGTCCTCAAACGAGAGACAATGAAGTCTGAATGTCCTCAAACGAGACAATAAAAAAAAGTTCCAATGTCCTCAAATGAGAAGATAAAATATTTCCCAATGTCCTCAAACAAGACGACAATGAAGTCCCAGTGTCCTCAAAGGGGACAATAAAAAAGCCCCAATGTCCTCAAACAAGATGATAAAAAAAATCCCAGTGTCCTCAAACAAGATGATGAAAAAAGTCCCAGTGTCCTCAAATGAGATGATAAAATAAATCCCAGTGTCCTCAAACAAGATGATGAAAAAAGTCCCAGTCTCCTCAAATGAGATGATAAAAAAGTCTCAATGTCCTCAAATGAAACAATAAAATAAGTCCAAATGTCCTCAAACAAGAAGATGAAAAAAGTCTCAATGTCCTCAAATGAGACAATAAAATAAGTTGCGATGTCCTGAAACGAGAAGATGAAAAAAGTCCTAATGTCTTCAAATGAGACAATTAAATAAATTAAATAAGTCCCAGTGTCCTCAAAAAAGATGATGAAAAAAGTCCCAATGTCCTCAAACGAGATGATAAAAAAGTCCCAATGTCCTCAAATGAAACAATAAAATAAGTCCAAATGTCCTCAAATGAGATGATAAAAAAGTCCCAATGTCCTCAAATGAAACAATAAAATAAGTCCAAATGTCCTCAAACAAGAAGATGAAAAAAGTCTCAGTGTCCTCAAATGAGACGATAAAATAAGTCCCAATGTCCTCAAAGGATATGATAAAATAAGTCCCAATGTCCTCAAAGGAGATGATAAAATAAGTCCCAATGTCCTCAAACAAGAAGATGAAAAAAGTCTCAATGTCCTCAAATGAGACGATAAAATAAGTCCCAATGTCCTCAAACAAGAAGATGAAAAAAGTCTCAATGTCCTCAAATGAGACGATAAAATACTGTAAGTCCCAATGTCCTAAAACGACACGATGAAAAAAGTCCCAGTGTCCTCAAATGAGACGATAAAATAAGTACCAATGTCTTCAAAGGACATGATAAAATAAGTCCCAATGTCCTCAAACAAGAAGATGAAAAAAGTCCCAATGTCCTCAAACCAGAAGATGAAAAAAGTCCCAATGTCCTCAGATGAGATGATAAAATAAGTCGCAATGTCCTCAAACGACAAGATGAAAAAAGTCCCAATGTCCTCAAATGAGACGATAAAATAAGTCGCAATGTCCTCAAACGACAAGATGAAAAAAAGTCCCAATGTCCTCAAATGAGACAATAAAATAAGTCCCAATGTCCTCAAACAAGAAGATGAAAAAAGTCCCAATGTCCTCAAACAAGATGAAGAAAAAAGTCCTAATGTCCTCAAATGAGACAATAAAATAAGTCCCAATGTCCTGAAACAAGAAGATGAAAAAAGTCCCAATGTCCTTAATGAGACAATAAAATAAGCCCCAATGTCCTCAAACAAGAAGATGAAAAAAGTCCCAATGTCCTCAAATGAGACGATAAAATAAGTCCCAATGTCCTCATACAAGAAGATGAAAAAAGTCCCAATGTCCTCAAATGAGACAATAAAATAAGTCCCAATGTCCTCAAACAAGAAGATGAAAAAAGTCCCAGTGTCCTCAAATGAGACAATAAAATAAGTCCCAATGTCCTCAAACAAGAGGATGAAAAAAGTCCCAATGTCCTCAAATGAGACAATGAAATAAGTCTCAATGTCCTCATACAAGAAGATGAAAAAAGTCCCAATGTCCTCAAATGAGACAATAAAATAAGTCCCAATGTCCTCAAACAAGAAGATGAAAAAAGTCCCAGTGTCCTCAAATGAGACAATAAAATAAGTCCCAATGTCCTCAAACAAGAGGATGAAAAAAGTCCCAATGTCCTCAAATGAGACAATGAAATAAGTCTCAATGTCCTCAAACAAGAAGATGAAAAAAGTCCCAATGTCCTCAAATGAGACAATAAAATAAGTCCCAATGTCCTCAAACAAGATGAAGAAAAAAGTCCCAATATCCTAAAACAAGATGATCAAAAAAAGTAAAAATGTCCTAAAATGAGACTATAAAATAGTCCTGATGTCCTTAAACAAGATGATGAGAAAAGTCCCAATGTGTATGAGATGACAATGAAGTCTCAATATCCTCAAATGAGATGATAATCTTACATAGATACTTTGTCATTGTCATTTTCATAACAATGGAATTGAAAAGTGCATTATCTGCAGTGTAAAGACAACAAAAAAGCTATGTTGAGAAAAAAACAGTAACAGTAATTTAAAAACTATAAAAATAGAGCTATAATAGGACGTTCACATTCACTTGACGTTCCCCCATTGCACAGCCCTGTAGCAGCAGCAACAAAAACATACATGTGCATTCATTTGTGCCATTTGTCATTCAGTGCGATTATTGCCCTGGGATTAAAAACTGTTCTGGCAACAGTTCAAACAGGGAGTGTCCTGGGTGTGTTGGGTCCCTGAGAATGGTTTGGGCTCTGCTGAGACAGCGGAAACTCTAAAGTTCTTACAGGGTGGGGAGAGGGCAACCAGTGGTTTTCTGGGCTGTGGTGATGGCCCTCTGATGCGCCTTCCTCTCTGCTGTTGTGCAGCTGGCGTACCACACACACCCCTTATGTGATAAATATATAATATATATATAATATATTCATATATAATAAAGTCCTAATGTCCTCAAACGAGATGATAATAAATTCCCAGTGACTTCAAAAGAGTACTTCCTAGTTAACAGCGTCTCAGCTTTTTACTGTTGCTAACACTGGTCAAATTTGTTGCCATATCAAACTACAAACTGTATTAATCATAAATAAACAAGTTTCAGTAGTTAAATTTGATCAGGTTTTGTACCTTGCTTTTACATGAATTAGTGTATTGTGGTCTTAGTACCACTAGATGTGACCAATAAAAAAGGGAGGAGGACAAGAGGTCTAAGTTAAGCAGAATGAAGCATAAGGTCCAGCAAACCCAAAATGTAAGTCCTCATATGAGGACACAGGGTCTCAGGAGGACATGAATAGTGCCTACTCACCTGTCCCTGCAGATAACAAGATATAAATCCCATGTATAGCCTTTTTTTGTGACAGAACAAAAATGTATTAATATATCTCTATATAACAGGCTGCATGCTTAAAAAACAAAAATGGTTGCAAATAAGGACAGGACTATAACTCAGTAAACTGGGCATTACTGACATTTTTCTTCAGCCTGCACGGCCTGATAGGCTGCAATAATAAAATGCATTTTCATTACCTCTGCAGCCCAAACATATCATGATGCGGTCTAATATTATTTCAGGCCTTCATAATTCAAGTAGCATTTTAATAGGCCTAACTATAAATAACTACACATTTAGATATACTATATTTAAAAAAAAAGAAAACAGGTCACGTCCGTGTTCTAATGAATTGTGGGTTATTAAATCAGTAAAGTCTGCTGAAGTCTGCATCCCAAGCGGACTCTCTGGAAGTCTGCAGAAAGTCCGCCTTGGGCCTCTTGTGGATTTGGACAGCCCTTAACACTCCCACGTCCGCAAGATCCGGACATGTGGACATTTGGATTGGGCCCAACGTGAAGCGATGAGTTGCCTCATCCAATCAGTAAACACAGTCATGTGACCCCGGTGACGTGTTGACCTGTGTTTAAAATAGCCTGATATCTGCCGCACATGGAATAAGTTTTCCTTGTAGGCCTTCTCCAAGAAAAGAAATCTTTTCATCTAGATCTAGATCTACATTTAGATCCAGATCTATACTTCTACTATGTCAGCTCAGAGGATGACCTCATGCCATGCAGGCCATATACTAGCCTATAACCTCCTTTTTTCCCACTGTCCTCATTATATGCTCACCCTTTCAAAACAGACTGATGATACAGACTGTAATAACAGATGACATTTCTTGCAGTGTGGTGTTTTTAGTCTAGTCTCTGTCTGTGTGGCCTTGAGCGTGTGTGTACGCGCATCTCTGTGCCTGCTGCCTCACAGTATTGTCAGTGAAGAGCTGGAAAACAACAGCACACTGTGAACGCAGTGCAGCATAATGAAGATATGAATGCACACTGTCAGGACCGTGCATCTGAATAAATTGGGGAAGTCTGTATCCGTTGAGTGTGGACCATGCTGCGGAGGCCGCGATTTCGTTTTCAGTTCCTGCTCCAAATGTCTCCAGATAGCGCGCAGCACTCTTGTTGTGATTGTGGAGATTTTTTAAATCCTCTGAGTGCGGGTGAAAAATAAAACGTCAAGTAACGATAAATTATAATTTTTACGGAAGCTTTATCTTGCATTTCTCCCTTTAATAGTCTACAATCTTCTTCTATACAGCCACTAGAAACTTTGGCAGCTTTGCGCAAGTGACCTCGGGTGACCCAAGTCTGTTGAAATGTGTCGTCAGAGGCTGAAACCATGTTCAAAACCATTTCAAAAACTCACTCTGTGACTTCATCAGTGCTCAGGCCTGTACGCGAGGCTGGGCAGGAGGAGGGCAGGAGCTTTATTATTCAAGAAAGGAAAAGAAGGAGGAGGAGTCAGCCATGATTGGCTGGACAGTGAGAGGAGGAGACAAGACCGGAGGACATGAACGAACAGAAGTCTAAAGCCAGAAAAACCTGTAAACCCTCAAAAAAGGAGTTGCTTTTCTGTGTTTTAATGGAGTAGGTGGGGTTCCATGGGATTTTTTAGGCTATAATAAACAAATTTGAGGTTTACTTATTATGTTAGTTCCATGCATCTGTGCCACAGTGAGCTAAATACACTATTATAATATTTATTTCTCATATTGTGTGCCTATATTGTTGCATTACTTAAATTTGCAGTATAAAGTAATTGTTTTGTTCTTTCTCTCACAGACTAAAGGAGGAGGAGGAAGAGGAGGAAGAGGATGAAGATGAACCCTTGTTACACTTCTGCTTTTCTGCTTACATCTTTTTGCTGATACTTTAACATCTGATTATATTTTCTAAAATCTCTCTTTTGTTAAATTCCTTAAAAGTCTTACTAAAAGTGTGTACACATTTATTATACTTGCTGCTTAAAGAGAAACAGGAGACCAAGTTTATAAGTTAAAAAAAAGCTAATTTGGGATACCAAAATAAAAAAGTATAATTATATTGGTTAGTATGTGCTCCGTAGTTTTTTGGATTGGCATTATTTGAAAGCCACCTTGATACATTCTCATGAGGTTATTGCATTTCGTCTGCAGCCTCACGAACAGGAGACAAAGCCACAAAGGTTTCGCTCTTGCTGCTTCAATGACAAAGTGAAACCCATTTGTGCACAGTTTAGAAATGAAATGAAATGAGTACATCACTACATATATCATGTGATCATGAAACTCAATAATGTATAGACTATGACACACAGAAACATAATTCATGTTATGTTGTTGTTTGTAAGGATGCGTTTTTTTATTCAGAGGTGTCTCTAATATTTTGGTTATTTCTACTGAAAAAACGATGACAAAATGTGATTAACCCCCCCTCTCTTTCTATCTTCCTCTGTTGGTAGATTAATGTGAATGCAAAATGTGAAAATATTGCCAAAGCACTAGCCACATTATATAAATAATATGATATTAAAGGACAGCTTTTAATCCTTGCTTGTTACCTTTTTTTTTGTTTGTTGTATGTATGAGTCATGTCTTCAGGCCTTTAAGTCCTCAAGGGGAAAACGTCATTTATCCACAAACTTTTCCTTTTCAAAAACAGGAGCTGCCTAACCCACTTTGTTATAAGATTAGTTTGTCATAATGTCCGTCTCCAAATATATTAAACCAGATTGTTTTTATGTTCAAACGTGCAGAGGAATTCTTTTATAACCTGGACTTTAGGGAGCAACACTGTTGAAAGTAGTGACATTTAAAGAGGATTCTGTTTTTTTTATATCTATATACGTTACTTAATTTGACTTGAGATTTATGTGTCTGAGACGGTAAAATTATGTCACCTAAATATGATCCAGTAATCAAAAGGAGGATTTGGTAGAGAAGCAAGCCAGGTATTTTTGTTTGCAGTGCCAAAGTGTCTGCACTTTAAAAATATATGGCAGCATCTGGTGTTTCTGAACAGGGAGGTAATTAAATGATTAAGTGATCAGGAGAGGAATGAGCATGAATGAATCAAGTCTTTTAACTCATCACAGCCTTAAAGCTTTTGTGATCAGGCTCACTAACATTAGCCAAACATGGCCTCAAACAAAATCATGTTAGTTAATAAATAATAATAATAATAATAATAAGAGATCAATTATATATTTTTTTGGTATTTACAGAGTGCAGAAGTTGTATGTTGAAAAATGAAACTACACTCTTCCCTTTCTGGTGTGCACAGGAAATAAATCACACCCACTAACGTTCATGTTCTGTTGCAATGTCTATTTATTATTCGCCTGTAGTACATAGCATATGCATATTTATGCTTACAAACAAGGAAAGGTCTAACAAGCATCCATACACAAACATACAACACACATACTTCATTCACATATGAGCAAACCTTGATGTCCAATCCTTTACTCACAGCAGAAAATCCAACCTTAAACAACGCTCACTTCTCCTTCATGCAAGTGTGGACATTTTGAAATTAATAGGTCTCTCCCAAGATTCAAAGTCAGAGCCAAAGCTGTATGTGTTAACTTTTTTTGTGCAGCTGTTTCATTGTTACCAGATGGCAGGCATCCGTGAGTCATTTTCCGGAGATGTCTGCACATTTTCTGACTCTGAAATGTCTGCCTATCTCTGGAAATCTATTCGGGTGTACGAGATCAAACATCTCATAAATTAACTCCCCATGTAAATGAAGCTTTGGGAGAGTGCTAGTCCTCACATGAACCAATATGTGGATTTTTAAGTTAAACAGTTTATTTTTCTGAGGAGCTATGGAAAATACAAACACACATACAAAGTTTGTTTACCCCCACAAATCCATGCCTTGCTAGTTGCCCCAGCCTTGATTACGTCCAGACTGAGACCACAAAAACCTCGGGTACTCCTCAGAAAGGCCTTTGTTTCAAAACTGTCACTGTACCGCAGAGTGTGGATGAAAGCAGCGGGCACCAAAGAAAGCAAGGTGATGATGGGACAGAAATCCAACCCAAACATACACTGACAGTTTATTTGTTTTTCTGACAATGTAGATGGACCGTTTCCTTGACACCTTTTGTATTCTTCCCGAAATGGCATGTACAATGACAGCTTGGCTGCACCACATTTTCAGCCGGTGTATCGAACCCCCCTTCTTGTTTCTTGAAGTTAACTGGACTCTGCTCCACATTTTAGCAGCTGATACCAACCCTCCCTCACGTGTAACCTAAGGCCATGAAGCTCCACCGTACTGATGGAGGACAACATAAAAGAGTTACATGGATTAAAGTACTGTGCAAAAACTAAGGTGCCAACTCCACTCCCCCCTTCCCAAACTTAAACATACACACAAGGGCCATAAAGCCTAATACAAACACACACACAGGTACGCACACACATACACAGATCACTAAAGGCATGTTTTCAAACTGTGTTGGATCTGTATCACGCCCACTATGCAGGGGGAGCTCAAATGATTAACCACTTCCTGCATAATTCAAAGTCTTACCAACTCACCTGCATGTCAAAGTAAGCAGGGAGAAGGAAAGTATAACTGAACAACTTATTTCCTTGTGCTTTAATAGTAAACTGGGTGACTTGGGCAGTAGACATTTAGGCGAGGAGCACATTTAGATTGAGGCCTAAAGTTGATGTGACGGAAATTAATAAAATAGTGGACTGAAATATAACCTTCCTAAACTGAGAACACATGGTCACCAATTTAGAACAGCTGATTCTGACCAGGTAAACAAGCTTCTTCAGTCATATTCACTGACACACAACTAACATAACTGAAATTTGCATCACCAGTGTACTGATGGCGGCACCTGCCAGCGTTAACCGTTTCCATTGTGAATGTTTGCTTTAGGTCTGGTTTTATGAACATGTTTGCCACAGGACAGGATGCTAAATGAAGCGGTGCTTAAAGGGGAACGACGCCTCTTTTCAAAATTCATACACGTTATTCCTGTGGTCTAAGATGGTCCAAAAATATTAGTAAACATGATCAACTCTCTCCCAAATCCAAAAACTAGAATACTATAACTCAAATTTGTGATGTTGTGTAGTATACAGTCTGAAGCTGCTCAAATGACAATGAATTGATAAAGCGGTTACACTAAAAACATCTAAGGGAGTGGTCTGAGTGTATGGGTACATTTTCTGTTTCAAAACTGAGAACACTACTGGTTTGTAGGTATTGAAATGTATGGCAGAACCTCAGTCAACTTTCCCTTTTCCTGTTAAAATAGATATACTGTGTGTTAAGCTTGTCTGTTGAAAAGAAACCCACATCCTGAAGATGGTAAAAAGATATGGCTGAAAGTCTGTCACACTCTTTATGGATGCATTACATTAGTCACATCTTAATGTAGCTAATGATAGCAACACTAACCCTAACATATAGCTACACCAAGAGGAGTTAGCCTAATATCAATCTGGAAATCCATCGGTAAAAAAAGAAAAAAAAAAAATTCTTCCTTTACTCTTTCCTCTACAATGTAAATTGCAGAATCTGTCTTGAGAGATTAGTCTAATATCAGATCAGCAACGTTGGCAAGGTCACAGTTTTAGTTAGGTAATGTTAGCAAAATGCTAGCTAACTAGCCAAGTAATGTAAAGCTACATCAAGAGGTGTTAGCCTAATGTCAGATCGGCAACTTCGGCCAGGTCACAGCCTAAGTTAGCTAATGTTAGCAAAACGCGAACTAGCTAGCTTACATAAAGCTACATCAAGAGGGGGTCAGCCTATTGTCAGATCAATATTGTCAGCCAAGTCACATCCAAAGTTAGCTTATGTTAGCAAAACGCTAGCTAACTAATGTAAAGCTACATCAAGAGGTGATAGCCTAATGTCAGATTGACAACTTCAGCCAGGTCACAGCCTAAGTTAGCTAATGTTAGCAAAACGCTAACTAACTAGCTAGCTTATGTAACAGTTAAAGCTACATCAAGAGGGGATTAGCCTAATGTCAAATCAGCAACTTCAGCCAGGTCATAGCTTAAATTAGCTAATATTAGCAAAATGCTAGCTAACTAGCTAGCTAAAGTAAAGCTAAATCAAGAGGTTTTACTAATGTCTGTCAGGTTTGCTTCCTCCATGTGTCTGTGACAATGTTAAAAAGATTTGGAAAGGGACAGATAGTTTGGTATCTACCACATTTTATAGATTACAGGAGTTATTGGTACCCAGAAATCTATATTTTCTCTGTAAGGCAACGTTCTGCCCACAAAGCAACTAAGGTTATTTCTATAGTAAAGAGAGGATAATACTACTTCAGCACCGTGCTCTGTATTCAGTAATAAATACAGAGAGTACTTTACTGATCCCCAGTGGGGGAAAAGGGGACACATACCAGCAGTACAGAAGCAGTGTTGGCTGATCGTCTCGTCATCCTTGGTCTCTACTTCTCCCTTTTTTTCATTGACTAGAAGCCTCAATTCATGTTGTTTAACCTTGTTCATAAAAGTTATCATTGTGAATATAACCTTCCCTCTCATACTTTAGTCCTTGCTGTCGGCTTCTTGAAGCTATACTGCCTGACTCCAAGAAACTATCTACTAAATGCAGCCGCTCCTGGTAAACTGGCATCGCCATGTTTCTTTTTGGCAATGTTGTCCAACTGAGCAACAGTTAAGGGGGCGGGACTTAGGATCGGTCAGCTGTCTTTGGAGCAGACCAGACCTTATACTTGATGACATCACAAGTTTGAGACTTAACTCTCAGGTGTTTCTAGGTTTGACAGAAAGTAGCTTATGTTCATAAATAATGATTAAACTTTCTCAGGCTGTAGAAATGATATAGTGGAATTCTTAAATTAGGTGGCGTTCCCCTTTAACATATGCAAACACATTAAATAAGCCCAACCTTGTCTAGTTTCTAATTCTGTCCTTGACTTGTCCCTAGAATTACATGATTTGGACAACCAAAGGTGCCAAACTTGGAATTAATTCATTCAGTAGTTTGGATAATGTCACCAGTAATAAATTATTTTTCCACTCCCGGTCCACAGAGACGGTGGCTTTCATTACAAATCATTGTAGTGGTAATGAGAAAGTAGGTAAAACAAATACTTCACTATAACATAATTACTGAATGCATAAGGTCAACTCTTGTCACAAGTCTGATTAAGAAGTGCAAATACCTCTGATTTGTGTCACTGGTTTGTTAACTGGTCTGCTTGTGCTTTGGCCAATAATCTGAGATCTCACTGTGACTGGGGAAGTCATGAAGAGTCGATAGCTC